ATTCCTGTCTGAAAATCCTTCACAGAAAAACCAAAAGGATCAAATTCAACCGACACATCATTATCTATGGTAAATTTACGAACAGAGATAAGATTTTTTATGAGTTTTGGTGCATGTAAAACATTAGGTAATTTTAGTAAATAAAGGGAATTTGGTAATGATGCATGTTCACAACCAATTACAGGAATATTTTGACCACTATCGACAGTAATATTATTACTCATATTGAAATAGGACGAGAGATTACCTCCGTTGGCCGTCATATGCGAGGTTGCTCCGGTGTCCATGTACCACTGATCATCAGGAGTAGAAAGTGAGAGAGTATGCATGGCAGCTTGAATATTTGTTGGAGCATATGAGGAGGTCGGCGCTGTGTTGGCGACATAAGCTTGATTTGGAGCATATGAGGAGGTTGGCGCTGTGTTGGCGACATAAGCTTGATGAGATGGCTTGGGACCAAGGATGCCGGGTTGTTCCTTTGGATTTCTTGCTGTTGGATACAGACAAGGTGGTGTAGCCCATGGTTGCCATGGCGGGGAGCTCCATTGTTGATATTGATTTGGGTATGGCGGATAAGCCCACTGCTGATGCGGGTAATATGGTGAAGGCCATTGCTGTTGCGGAGCACGACCTCCGCCACGTCCATTGTTTCGCCCTCGGCCTCGTCCACGCTGTCCTCTGCCATTGTTTCGGCCACCACGGTTGTGGTTACTGTTGTTACCGCGGTTAGGACGGGATGCCGATGAATTAACTGATGCGTCATTATGAGACGCCATGAAAGATGAATTTTCGACTGAGCTTGACACCTTTTTCTGCAGTGCTGTTTCTTCCAAAATGATCATGGAACGAGCTTTATAGAACTGAGGAAGTGAATCAGCATGACGAATTTGAGATCCCACAGTAGCATATGCATCGGTTAGTCCCAAAATGAGTTGAAGAACTAAACGTTCATTCGATACAGGGGCACCAACATTAGCGAGTTGATCAGAGAGAGATTTGAGATGCTGACAATAGGAGGAAGCATCAGAGAATTGCTCCATATGAGTTTGCGAAAATTCTTGCTCTAGGTAGAGAGCCCTAGAATTCTTGTTATCATAAAAGATGTCGAATAAGCGATTCCACGCGATTTCAGCGGTGGAATTATGTTCGATGATAGTGTTGAGAAGATCATCGGAGATTGTTCCATATATCCACTGCAAAACGACGGCGTCGAGACGAAGCCATAACTGTGGATCGGTAGTTTTGAGAGAGGGATCTGCGGCTGGTTCAGAGGGATTGATATGGTCAATTACTTGAAAAACTCGAGCATGAATTTTGAAAAGTTCTGACCACGTGTTATACGTGCCCTTTTCAATGCTCAGAGTAATCTTGATGAAATTAGTAATATTTTGGACAGTGAGAGCAGGGTGAATCGGTGTAGGAGTGGTAGGTGGTGGAGGAGGGTCGGTATGACCGGATGATTTCGGGGAAGAGTTATTGTTAGAGGAATCAGAAGTGGTAGTCATGGCTGTTTCGCGGTAGTTGAAGAGAAAAAGAATGAGGGATAGAAAGGAAGAAGGTTTACGGCTGATTTTAGGGTTTGGAACAAACCAAGACTGATACCATGTAAGATAATTTAGGCCGTACCTTTTCATTCATGTGATAGTCATTTATATACACAGTACAAATATGTGGTTATGATTCTAATAATCATTGATAATCAATACTAATAATAATCTTTATATATTTACATATCTAATAGAGTTCTAAGTTGGAGAGAGTTGTTAGGGGCCAAATTGTGTTAATATTTAGTATAGTTTAGTGGTTCCTTTTAACTCAATTCATTGGATGTTCATGTTAAAACCTCAATTTTAGTGTAAATAAAAGTTTTATAGTTGTATCGTGTAATATTGTATAGATTAATCATTTATTGCCTTATTTTGTAGGATTGATCGCATTATTGAAGCATTGAGCATTGAAAGGCAAATAAAATTTCAAGATGCAATTTTTGAATGGAAATAAAAAGCTCCAGGTCGGGCTAAGCGCGCTTGGATTTTTTTAGACATAAGGTAGCGGACTAAGCCCCAAATTTGGGGATAAGCGCGATTTGCAACATAAGGCAGTTTGGTGCCATAAGTGGGAGCGCGCTTAGCGGGCTCTAAGTGAGATAAGCGCAGTTTGCAATTTTTCAAGTGTATAAATAATGTTCCAATCAGATTTTATAGGGATAGCCCAATTTTGAGAGAAGGGTTCGACCATTCTTTAAGAGAAAGACTTAGAAAAAAACATCAGAGGCTGCATTTTGATGATTCAAAGTTGGATTTGCATCAATCATCTTGACAACGCGAGAGTTGTCGGTTCATCTTCCTTCTTCTCTTTGTATTCTTTATTGTTGGAGTTTGTTTGTAAGTTTACTCTGATTTTATGTATATGCATTGATCATGACGTTGTATAATACCTATTTTACAAATCTATATCGTTGTTATCCTTGTTTACTTAATTTATGTTTGGATTTGAATTGCTATAGACATATACTCTTTAGATCTGGATTTTGGATGAACATGTATTAGGTTCTAAACTCTAGAAATAGATTTAGATCTAGTATTCATAGTGGGTATTGATGCTTATGCTCTGTGTTGTTTAGTTACGTGAGATATCACCGATGAGACAATACGAAAGAACTCTCGTAGGTGCTTCAGACATGAACTCTAATGTGAGAGATATATCATGATATTGATGAATGTTTTAGGTTGCATGCAACTGATCGGTAGATTTAAGTATTTGATGGGTAAATGTAATCTAATTCCGACGAGTTATCTCCTCTCTAGAAAAGGCATTATTTACTTGTTCATACGATTTAATTTCCACGCTTTATACTTTTAAATCATTTAAACCAAACTTAGAAATGTGGAGATTATTGAATGATATTTGATTCCTCACACTAATACCTATAGAGACGATAAAATAAAATACTTACTTTTATTTACTATTTTACCGCAACAATAATGAGTATTTAGTTTTGTAACTATCTTGGTTCCTGGAGCTCAGGGTCCATTTAGAGCAAGGGTACTTCCATAGCATATAGTTGGTTATAGCGTGCTACTTTTTATGGTAATGTATGTTGCAGAAACAGGATTGATGGAGAAGTCTAGCTTCTTAAATCTAAAACCATACGAGCATTGTTATAACTAAGATTATTATAACTAGAGAGTAGATTAACTAAAAAGATAGATGATTGCATCCAAAGAATGATGACATGTTGCCAATTAGGTATCCTAGCAAACACAATTTATAATTGCCAATTAGGTATGCTAGCAAACACAATTTATAAACCATTATAAGATAGTTTTTGTTGACCATATAATATAGGTGTGTTAGCAAACACAAGATTGAAAAATACCAGGTGGATAAGGTGCATTAATGGTTCTTTTACGTATCTGAAAGAACATAAGTAATGGTAAAATACTTAGGAACAAAACAAGTAAAATCAGTGACAACACATTGTTACCAATTATGAAGAGCAAAACAATGATTTAACTCTCAACTTTAGCGTATCATATTAGATTGTAGTTGAAATATGTTTTTGTGTTTTAAACAAGTATCATATTGGGTTGTAGTTGGAATATTTTTTTGTATTTTAAACAAGTCCCACGTCGATTTTTAATTAAATATCTTTAGTGTTTATATAGCACTTTCATTCTTATAAAAATTTGGATATATCATGCTAAAATTTAATGGGATTGGGCTCAGGCTAATGAGATTTAGTATAAAAAATTTATTTTAATTAATTTAAAAATAGACTTATTAAAAAATATTAATTCATCCAATAAAATAATTAAAAATTATTTAATAATAATTTTAAAAAAACATTATTAAAAAAGTATTAATTTATTTATTAAAATAATTAAAAAAATGTTTAATAATAAATTATCTGAATCAATATTGATGCATTATTAAAAATGTTTTTTTTATCTTAATCATTACTGACATGTCAGCAAAAGTGGAGGGGTGCCAACAAAATTTCAAGTGAGATAAAGTTTAAGGATCATAAAACTTACTTTTAAAATAGAGGACTAAAACTTAAAAAACTTAAAAATGGAGGACCAAAGTGCATTTAAGCCTTGTTTTTTTCACAAATATGATTTTACCCACTAAAAAAGGTTTTATTTATAGAACATCAAAATCACACAATATAGTCAATATAAATTATTACAAAAAGAAAAATTATTGTAAAAATATGAGTGGTTTTGTAAGTAATATGGTTAAATCACACATACACACTCTAAACTATTTTTGAAGCCTTTTTTTCAATAAAATCACCACAAATGCTTTCGAAACCTAGTCAAATGAATTAGGAGCTTTCAAATTAATTAAAATAAGTTTTTGAATTGTCTAATCGATTAGAACAAATGCCAAATCAATTAGATGAAAGTGAATTAAGTCTATAATCGATTATAATAGTGCTTAATGAATGGTAATAACTCTATATAAATTTTATAATTTGGGTTGTAATAATCAATTATATCATGTTCCTAGTTGATTAGCTAATCGGTTAGGCCATTTATTTTGCCCAGGGTTTGGTTCCTAAATTGAACCATTTCTTGACCTATAAATAGATATTTTCCCTTTCATTTCAAAACATCTAGAAAACATTAGATATCTCACATTCTCACCTTCATCTCTCTTAATTTCTCTAACTTAACAAGAGAATCATTTATGACCTAGGTAAATTGCAAGTAAATAAAACAGTTAATAAAAAAAAATGATAGCCTCACACAGCATGGAGTGTGAGAATAATCAATAATGTTGGCAAGAAATACATTCAAATACACAAAGGCTCTTGTAAAAGTGAGGTGAACTTTATTGAAATGCAAATGTCTCGAAGTGATCTTATGTATAACTTATCATAATTATGTAAGAGCCATAATTATCATAATTCTCTAAAATATAAAATAAATTAATTAAAAAAATCTGGCAATCCTTTTTTTTTTGGATATTTTCTTGGTAATTGGTCAATCTGACTATCTAAAGCCTTGTCTTACAGATGGATTAAGAGAGAGATTCTTGGTTAATTTGACCAGATTTTCTTGATTACTACCACTTGAATGCATCTCTATTTCCTCCTCTCTCGCCTTCGTAGTGTTCTGCACAATATCAATATAACAACACACAAAAGAGAAACAAAATTACAGCATGCAAGGAAATAGAATTGAGTGTACTTCCGGTAATCATGTACAGTCTATGCTGCAATTGCGTGTATATTTAACAGGTGTTCTAGACAAAGAAAATAGAACTTACATAGTAACCATCATTGTTGTACACTTCCTGTTTTGGGCCTGTATGCTGCTGAGTAATCTTTTGGGAATGTATTAACTTCTCTCGGTTTTCATAGAAATCAAAATCATCCAATAGACAAGTCTTAGCTTGATAACTTTTAAATATTTTCAGCATTTCCAGACCCTCTTTCAGTCCAATCTGCAAACCTCACAATTACGGGTTCAATGATAAATCGTATCCAACAGAAAGGCACAACTTCAGCACAAACTTTCTTTTGGGTTATGCAACAATGATTTCTGTCGGACTATATGAAAGAATTATGTTAACATAATTACAAGTAAGAATTACCTCTTGTGTGTCCCTACTGAAAGTTACACACTTGTTCTCATTATTTTGAAGGATGATGTGCACAAACCGGGGGTTGGGAACATCTTTTATAATATGCCACTTAATTGGGAAGAAACCGTTGTATTTGTCGAGTTTCCAAAACTTCATATCTTTTTTGAAGTCCACTGGACCAAGCATCTCAGCTACTCCAACAAACTGCCCACTTGCATTAACCTGATTTGGCAACATAATACATTGAGAACAACTGAATAATTGGGAAATTAAGGTTTTAGGACATGAACCCGTTGTTCTTCTGAAAAAAAAACCAAGAGAAAACTTTGGGACAAGATTTTAACTCACCGAAAAGAAGAGGAAGACTGGGCACTGGGTGCCTGTCTCACATAATTTAGCTTCTGCATTTTGGAATGCAGCGTTCAACTTCTTATTTCCATGTGGAGTGCTTGTCCAAACGTCGTGTTTAATACCCTTGTGAATGTCATCTTCGTTGAAAGATTTAATCATATAAAATTTAGCATTTTCATATTTAGTTTTGAAATCTGGAAGGTTATATCGATCTCTGGATACTGTGAATGCAAACTCATCCTTTTCAACTGATGATTGTGGTTGAGAACTATTTTTATGAAACCGAGGACCCCGAGTCATTTCCTTTGACATTTCAGGTACTCCACTTCTGAATTCCTCACTCAACAAAAGTCTATCATTTACATTAGACACACTACCATTTGGTCTGTAGTTGGTAGCGGCATTGGGTCTGTAATTGGTAGAGGCATTTGGTCTGTAGTTGGTAGAGGCATTGGGTCTGTAATTCGTAGAGGCACTTGGTTTGTAGTTAGTAGAGGCATTTGGCCTGTAGTTAGTATGCGGGAAGACGTGGCTTCTTGGGTTGGCAAATGATGGAAAATTTCCTGTTTGGTTATAGGTCCTTGGAGGTGCGGCAGCTGTAAAATTAGAATGCAAATGAGGAGCCTGCAAAATAAAACATTCACTCAATCAAAACACTATAATTCTAGAGAAATTACAATAAAAATCTAAAATACATAACACAAAGTTTGTGTACATTATTATCCATTAAAAGAAAAACAAGTGATTCTAGGGGTGGCAATTGGCAAACAAGGTCCAGGAGAAATTTTTCCTCATCCACATAAGTGAAGCTGGTATTGACAAAACAAAGAGAATAACACCTTTTCTAGGTATCGACGAAATGAATATATATATAAATAAGCAGTGATACCAACTAATATCTTAAAATATCTGACACATGATAATGTACAGGTACCTTTTTTTGAATTTCCATTTCTTTTCTGGTATCAGTCAAAATCTTGGGTAACCTGCTAGTTAAACTGCCAGTTCTATGTGCATACTGTGAGCTGTTTTGATTCTCTAAGGTAGAAGATTTTGGATAATTTTTTGGAAATACAGAACCATTGATAGGCTTATATTGCATGCCAACAGAATGTGATACCGAAGAACGATAAGGCATGGCTTCTGATTTATGAACGCCTGGTTGTTGAACATAACTGGTGTAGGACAGGTCAGGTTGTTGATCAGCATAATCCCCATGGACATGGACAGTAGTTCCTGATATTATAAAGTGCATAGTCAGTAAAGTAAGAATAAACGGGATAATTTGATCACACAACACCAAACTCAAAGGTTAAAAACATTCCAATAATATATTGTCCATGAATATGGATATTTATCATTCTGAACCTGCAAAGTCTTGAAACTGTTCTATAGGAATTCCCCCTAAAGAGATGTATGTTGTACGTTTATTCTAGTTTCCCCTTGGTATGATTTCCATCCGTAACAGACATATTGAGGCAAAGCATGATGGCCTTATTACATACCAGGGCCATATGTTGGACTCTGATATTTTCAAACGAAAACCTAGAATTCCTAATGTTACAGACTCCAACCGATAAATAATTCTAAAATTCAAATCAATCGAATTTTGAATGCATTTACATTACCTTCTGCGATAGGTGAACCATTGGCTGAAGCCATCAAGAGAGGATCAAGTCACTGAACTCAAACAGGACAAGTAGTTAACCGCAATCGCGCTGAGGGAGACGATTCAACGAATGCTTCTTTCATTCGCTTTTATATTTTCTTTTTTATTTGTATCTAAAACGGGTTTTTTGCTGAACCCTTGACCCGAACACATTTTATTAGGGTTTTTTGGAATATCACCCACTCTTATCTTAAAATTCACAAGGACTATTTTGTAATTTCATATTACGATAAACGCATACCAAATTTAAGTTTCACTAAGATGCTCTCATCACAATATTATCTTCACAAATATTATTACACGAATTTTATTTTTATTTTTGGAAGAATAACAAATTCTATATATTTTCAAAAAATAGTTAATACATCGCGCTCCACGGACTTTGGGTTTTTCCATATTCTATGGACTATATAATCTATCATACCATTATAAATTCTAGTATGACTATCATTTGTATTCCTATCATCTTTCCTATACACCATATCATTTATATTCCTATCATTTTTCCTATACACCATATCATTTTTATACACCGTCTTCGACAAAAGTCATTTTCAAAATCTTGGATTTCTAACTTTTATTCTTGCTTCTTTGAATCATCCACACAACTTCATCATCCCACCCCCTGGAGTGTATCATCAATATCCAACCAAATCAACACATCCCTCCAAATGTTATGAGTGGTCCTGCAACCAAAAAGAAGATGTTGCAGGTTTTCATTATCTTGATAGAAAACATATGTAACAGAGTTTATCATGCCAAACTTCACTAATCTGTCTTTAGTTACCAACCTCTTATGATAATGATAACGAGAAATCGTATCATATAATTACTACATTTTTTATCGATTTTCATAATACATTAAGTCGTTTAACTCCTGATTGTTCCGAATTTTTTGTGTCTTTTCACAGGTACAACATGTTTCAACTCAAATTAGTGAAAAAAGATCACATGAAGGAAGCTAACCAAGAATCAGAAGAAAAAGAACCAAATCTGCAAAGTCTACAGATTTTGTAGCTGTGACGACCGTCACACCCCATAACGAGCGTAACGCGCTCACAACTTGAAGGACGCTCGTCACACATCATTGACGAACGTAACGCGCTATTTAAGCGCATTACGACCGTCACCCCCTCATGACGACCGTCACACGCTTAAAAGCAACGTTATGCATTACAGGAGACGTGGGCAACGTAGTGGACAGTTTTCTTCTCCTGCATTTCCTCAACTTCAGTAACTATCAATCCGAGTCTTCCTCCACTCAAGATGTTCCTAAATTCTCTCAATTGCAAAATCTTCTTCTATAAATATAAGGCAGTTCAATGGATCATGGTCGAAGAATTTTCTACAGAGCCAAACTTCTGCTTTTCTACATTATTATATTTTATTTTCTTTTGAACCATTTTATACGTACTGTAATTTTTAGTTTCCAGAATTAGTTTCCAAAGTTCTTATCAGCGGTGTACGGCTGAATCTTCCTCATATATAACCAGAGGTGCAGCTTCGGACAAGAAACTTCGTCATACTTAGCAAAGGCTGGCGCCTTGAATTTGTGGGGAATTACCACCCCAGATGATAGACCTAGATCACCAAAGTCCAGACCAGGCACTTTCTGAACTTCTATAGCATTCAACCGGTCTTCCAGTTGCCTGTATCTATCCTCAGCAGGAGGATACTATTCTTCATCGAAGTCTGTCTCGTTGTCGGAGACCACAGGGCTAGGAGCCCTCCTTTCTTCCTGACTATCTTTCCCTCCTGGTGAGGTAGTCAGATCGACTTCATTTTGTAGCCTGTTTCCAAACCTGTGCTCTGTGTTAAACATGATTGTCCTCTTCTTCTTCTTCTCTTTCAGAATCAGGGTCTTCAGGTCTTGCTGACCCTTAGCTAGATTCATGAACAACTCTTGGAATTGGGCATTCTAGGCCTGGAGGGCCTTGATGGCTTGCTCAGTTGAAGGTTCAGCAGACATGATGAGTGCTAAAATAAACAACGAAGAAGATAAGAGACCTGTAATAGGTACTTGTTTATGAAGTGCATGGGATGAAATGCGTATGATTATGATTTCAAAGACAATCGGGGGATTCAAATTTGTAAACAAGAAATGAAACACACTTTATTAGATAAACTTCAAAATTCAAATTGTTCAACGGATGCCATTAAGGCGTTTACAAGAATGGAAATACTGAAAAGTAAATAAAACTGGAAAGGAAAACATCAAAGGTCAATCAATGCTCCCATGGTCTCTTCTTGTCGGTGCAGACATAGTCATTGAGAATCCGCTCGTTCTCCAACTGCCTAGTCAACCTTTGGATCTTCTGCTCTTGCTCGTTGAACTTCTCTCAGTAAGAATCCCGTTCTTCCCTCAGCTGCATCCAAGATCTCTTCAGTGCCCCGATGTCAGTGGGCATATGAGGATGGAGGATGGTTGGAAGAACCCCCTCTTCATTAGCAACTTCAACAATGATAGTCCGGACAGCTTCATATGGCATACCCAGCTTCTGGGCATGGATACGGACCCGTCTGAGATATGGCTCCATAGGAAGGGAAGTCTTTGGGCCCAGCTCGTGTGGATCAGATCTGTGAACTCTATCCCAGGCCTTTATGAATCTGCGACGTTGCTCATCGCTATCCCCTTGAAAATCAAAGATGATACTAGGCATTAGCATCTCATGAGGTCCTTCTCTTCTGGCTCTCCCAAACTGATGTAAGGCCAAGCACAGATTGTAAGAAATTCCTCCATGGGTTCCTAACAGTGGAACATTGGGGTACTCCCCACAACGATCAACGATAGCCTCTTCATCCATACCCTTGAGAGTCCAGATGATGTCATTATGGGAGAGAGACATAACCCTATAAGCCCAGCCCATGCCTTCTTTATTCTTCAGCATTGACTTGGGAAGGTGCGAAATAAACCACCTTGCCAATAATGGAGCACAACACATCAAGGTTCCCCGCTTTCGGGCAGTACGAGCATAAAGCTGATGAAGAATGTCACCCAAGAGAGTGGGTACAGGATTGCGAGAGATGAAGATCTTTACCGCATTAACATCAACAAAGGAGTCGGAGTTCGGAAACAGTACCAAGCCATATATCAGAAGAGCCAGAATATCCTCGAACGCCTTGAAGTCTAGACTATCCCAGAAATAGTTAGCCTTACCAACCAAAAACTTAGTCAGAAAGCCCTTTGCTCCACTTCTAGTTTCCCAATTAGCCATTACCTCATCCTTGGTCAAATGAAGGGCTGCAGCAATCTCTTCGGGCCTAAGAACCTTTTCCCAAACAGTAAACAGGGTCTGCTCCGGAATGGAGATACCGAGCAGATCAGAAAACTCTTCTAGGGTGGGAACCAGCTGGTAGTCCTGGAAAGTAAAGCAATGGTAGAGTGGATCAAAGAATTGGACCAAAACACTCATCATCTGCTCGTCCAATTTAGAGGTGACCAAACTGAGAAGATAACCATGTCTCCTGAGGAAGGAAGTAGTATTAGGCATCTTTGCAATCAAATATTTAAGCACAGTGGGAACCTGGACAAAGTTAATCAGGATGGTATTCCTACGCATAGGCATCATGATGACCTACAAAACAGTCCAAAGATGAATCCCTCTTGTCTTTGAAATAGGTTAGTCTTATGCAAGATGTATGTAATGTTATGATGTCATGATGTTATGATAGTAAGCACACCACAAGTATCCACAAATAGCAACCATGGTAAAGGCACACAAGTCACACAGAGAGCCCTTAGATTTCAGGCTGGCAAGGAGCTTAGGTACTACCCTCTTTCAATTCAGTTGGTTCAAACTTGTCCTAAAAATAGTAATCGGGTTCTATAGGATATCAATATCACTGACTACCCTCAATCGGTCATAATTCCAGTTTAACAACCTTTTCTTGCGGCCGAAATCATCTCGAGAGTTTAGTCTCAACGAGTGTAGCATACTGCTACTGTTCTATGGCCAAGTTGGTCAATTTAAAGGTTCTAAGATCAGTTGGTGCTTAATGACCCCTTAGATGACCCATATTCTCCTCGTTCCAACACAAGGGATATCGGTACAATCTAAAGTGCCACACCAACGTAGCTACTGCTTCAATCGTGTCGGTCTACGCTGTACAATTCCCTCACAGTTTATTGCTACTTACCTAAAGGGTATCCCCTAGATCCGGGTTAGGATCTATAGTAACTCTGATACAAGCCCACAAATATAAAGCATACAAAGCAAACAATTGAAAACACAATGATCTAATCCTAAGGTACACCCCACTTATTAAGTCTCCCCGGCAGAGCCGCCAGTTCTGGGATACGGTGGGAGAGAACTGACTGTTTTTGGAATGCTGGTTCGCGTTTTGCGTTTGTTTTCGCAAAATGTCACGGTAAGCAAGAGTCGCCACCGTCTTTTATTTTATCCAACAAGGAAAGGAAAAAAGCACAAAAAAATTCCTTTTTCGAGATTTTTCTCGGGTCCGGGGGGTAGATTATAGAAAGGGAAGGTGTTAGCACCCTTTCTATCCGTGGTTATCCACGGGCTCTTAGGTACTTGCTCATGTGTTTTCAAAATTTGCTTTTCTTTGTGTTTGTGGGTTTGAAAGGAGTTTTTGTTTGAAAGGTGTAAGTGCAAAAAGTTTTATTTTGTTTTGAGAGAGCAAGTACTTAAGAACCATCTACCTACTCGAAAAAGGAATTAATATGTATAAGTGTCCTTTAGACAATGCTATCCCACTATTGAGGAGTAGGTAGCATCGTCGTTGGAGTTTTAAAGGTCAATTCAATTAAGGGGCAGGTGGTCACTAAAGCAATGTTAGGATGCCTTAGCGGTAACCCTAATGTCTTAGATCATTTTTCCGAGGCAACCATTTCGAGGCAACTATGATCTTTAGACAAGAGGGCAACCTCTAAAACTTCATATACTCAATGACCACGTTCGAAGGCAACCAAGTGAGGTGTACCCTAAGAGTGCGCATGTGCAAGTGTGTTATTTTGGTTATTATCTTTGTACAT